TCTGGCTTTACAAGAAGAGGCCTTTGTTTTCTCACATATTACTATCACAAGGAACAATGTATATAATTTGATAACAGCCAAGAAATTATTTTTCTTCTTGGGAAAATAGGCATGCTTCAGAATACCAAATCGGGTAAGTTTTAAGCACTGACGAGTAATACAATTATAACTGGCCCTGTGCTCAGTGGTTCAGTGTACGAATCCAGGTACATGGATTCCTCAGTCTGTTGGTACCGCGGGGCCTGGTTCTAAAGGTCTGGGACTCACAGCGTGAGTGGAAGGAAAGGGAAGAAGGGTCAGTGTATGTATTTTCAGGACGGGGATACATGTGACAGCCCTGAAGAAGCAGAAGTGGCTGGAGGTAAACTTTCTCTCAGGCCACAGTGTGGATAAAAACTGCTGCCTTCCAGTCTAGGGAACTCACTAGACTGATGGAGAAAAAAAAATCATGACAGACTACAGAGGCAAATTTCCTTATAGCCAAAATCCATCTGTCTTTAAATACGTTCTCTTTCCCAACCTCAAAGCTTGGTTTTGGGACAGAAATGAGAGGACAACAAGATTGTTGATTTTAACACTGACTCTCGTTCACTTGGCTTTGAAGTACCCTGACAACTCAGGGCTTGGAAGCCTCCTTCCAAGTACCAAGGGTGGTGTTCTTGGTAGTAGTTTCATACTTACTGGACTCTTACAGTCCCTCTTGGCCAGCATAACCCAAACTTTAGTAGGTCAGGGACCAGGTCTACAGCTCCAGCCACACCGGCAAGTCTCACCATATGACAGACTTAGTAGTATATCTATGACGTCTATTTCTCCTTCCTTAACATTTGCTTTAAATTAGCTTTAACAACATATTTCACATGGAAAATTTACATAACTGTTATGTATTTATAAGATGACTATCACTTTTCATGGACAGAAAGTCAACTTAAAATTATTAACCAAAATATTCATTCTAGTTAAGTTCAGCTGCAAGATAAGCTCCATTCTAAAGCCTGTTGTACACTCTTGGCTATTTAGGGATGTCCACAGGTTTAGGATACTATTGATGACAAAGCACCAAGTGGAGACTATTCTCTGACATAAGAAAGAGAGGGCACAAATTCCCCCTATACCACCATTCCTGAAGGCCACAATGTCCCCGCGTCACCTAAAGCACCCACATTCCATGTAAGGTGCCACATATCCCACTTGGAGGCAATGCTTTCAAAGGTTATTATGATTATGATGCATTAATAAAATAAGAAATTGGCAATAAAGAGAATTATTGACAAATTCTAATCATAAAGCTGCATTCAGGATGGGCATAAAAACAAGGGCAATCCCCTCACCATCCCAATAGACTTCACAAGTCTTACTAGACACTTAGTTCCCAAACTATTTACATACTGACTAAAATACTGTCTACGGCTACTATTCATTTTATCTTAATTTAAATGCTGCTTGTACTCCTTCCCCGGTCTACAGTGACCAGTGACCATCTCTTTTGGACTAAGCGTGACCAGGTGGTAGCATCACACTCTCTCAGCTTCCTGAAAGGGAGAAGCACGCAACGATGCTGAGATTTCTCACCACACAAGAACATCTACTTTCCTGGATACCATCTCATCTGCTTTCCGAGGACTCATAAGAAAAGCACAGTGAAGTCTGAAGAGGGGGCGTTCTCTCCTGCTCATAAGTTCACTCGTATCTGCCAAGAGCAGGCTTGGGGCTGACATTCCTATCTGTGGCCCTCCGTAGCCCCGGCAGCTTTGCACCTGCCCAGCTGCCTGCTGTATCTTTTAGCTCTCTTGGGAATCCAGTTTTATACCACTCCTAATTTCAGTAGGAGAAAGGGGATACAACAGTGGCCATTCTCCTCCCCCAAGTTTATCTAATTTAAAAAAAGAAAGTTCTTACTTCTTTTGTGGTGGGGAGGCGTGGTGGAGAGTAAACAGACCTAAAAATAAGTTGGGTTCCTTCTTTTATTTCTATGTAATCAGAGCCCCTTTGAAACTACCCATTACCACTGCAATGGTTATTGGGTGAATACATAACATATATTTTTAGATGTGGTAAAACCAAGAAAGAAACAGTCAGGCTGCATCTAATTTATCAAATTGGTGATTGAGAGGCCGGCCTGAGAGACTCCAGATATCTAAGGACCCAGAGATAAAACAACGGTTGGTTGTGAATCCAGGGCTTGGAAAATATCAGGCATTTTTAAAGAAAAGAACCAAGTCAAGAGACATTAGACGAGGCCAGTAGGGTAATGAAAAGCAAGGCCAGTTACCGAGAGAGAAAATGACTTCATTTTCTATGCTAATGGATCATTGTGCTTCGCAGGTTTTCCGCTCACACTTTGTTAGTGGGATGGTATATCCACACAGCTCCTGGATGTCACTCACAGTATAGAAGGAAAGAACCTTGGAACATTCCACAGGGGGGGCTGGGGGGCAGGCAGAGGGCTTGGGTCTGCTATTCCGAAAGGGGAGGCTAAGAGCAATGGTAGCAGAAGGGGGTTAGACCGCAAGGTGAGGACAGGGCTGTGACAGAGGAGCGGGATGCACAGGGTTAAACCAAGACCAAAGACGTGACAAGGAAAGGAAAGAAAAAGCAGCAAGCATACTCTGGAAATGTGTTTGGGAGGGTGGGGTGAGCAAAGAATGGGCTTGGCCCGGGGTCAGTCAGTGGCTGTGCAGAGCTAAGCCAGTGGGCTCGCCCTGCTCACTGACGCTTTCTCGCTGGCTCCAATAAAAGGGCCCTGGGCACTTGACTCCTCCTCAGATGCTGGTCAGTGGACACGGTTTCTGCCCCGTGGAGAAATGTGAAGCATGGTGGAAACAATTCCAGAGTATCTGACTGCGAAAGCTGGAGCACACATGGGCCACATTCCCATGAGACAGTCAGCCCAGTGAAGAGCGCCCGCAGAGGCCCTCAGGAAACCCAGACGAGTACAGCATCCCAGCGGATGCTGAACACAAGGATGCGACGTCATTGAAGCGCTCACATCAGGAGATGAAAGGAAGGCGGGAAGACCACAGGTTGGGTCAGGCTGAGGGACATCGTAGTGATTCAGAGAAGGGACAGGACTTTTCCAACAGAGAAACATCGTCACCAAGTCACGCCACACAGTGCTTGGCCAAACAGAACGGAAGTTGGAAACAAATCATGAACAGCAAACAGAATGGTCATTCAGAGAAAAAGGGGAGAATCGAAACAAAAAAAAAGAAACAGAAAAATCATAAAAATCATGGTACAGGGAACATTAAGCTCTGTCATTTCAGTTTCTGCATAACAACTCATTGGCATTGCCCCGTCAATCATAGACCGCAGCTGTCCAAGATCAAACTCAGGTTTGATGGGGCAAGGCAAGGAGGTTGGTCATAGCACAAGAACAGCAACTGTGTTAAACACCCATGCAATCGCCTCTGCCACCATTGTCTGACACTCTGCAGGCTGCTTCCAGCTTCATTGGCATTTAGAATAAGACTCGGGAGAGTGAGCAATGCCGAGTTTTAAAACAATCTGTCAAAGTGCTAATTGGACTCCTTCAGAGCCTCCATTCCTTAGGGGAGTTGACGAATAAAGAAAGCCCATGCTGACCCTCTAAGGGAAGAGCAGAGAAAATGACCGCAACCCAGGCCTGACCAGAAAGACTTCTTTCTAGTATAGCAGGTAAAAACTGGGCAAGTAAGTTGTCCCCTACTTGAGACTACAGTCAGGGATGACGTAGTATTTGAGGTCTGAAGCCACACACAAATAATAGCACAAGCTGGGGCCTGTGGCGTGTTGGGCCGCTTTCCCTTCACTGAGTACTTTCTTAGGCTGGTAAGGACAGATCCCTCTAACTTAAAGAGGCCGAAGAGACAAAGCCAGCTTTGTTCTTTAAATAGATTTGAGGCGGGACAGATGAAGAAACGGAAGTCTATAGAATAATAAAAGCAGCAAGGAAGAACAGGATAAAAGGGCCATCTTTACCATTTGGGCTCAGGAACTAGGGCAAGAGAGTGCACGGTGCTTACAGGATAAAAGCAGATTAAATATATATAAAGAATTAGCATGGGAGTCTGTCCAGAAAGGAATACACCCAAAGTGGGGAAATCTGAATGCCAAAAACTGCAGGAGAAGGCATGACCCAGATGGTCCTCCAAGGGTCCCCATGAACTCCTTGACCCTCAAAACTCTAACTCCAACTTGGATGGAACTCTTGAAAACACACAGAAGCAAACAGTTCTGAATGGGGGTAGGGAGATGGCTCAGCAACATAACTGGGCTTTTGAGCTTTGATTTACAAGTCTGTTCTGGGGATAAGCAAAGGTCTCTCTGATTGCAGCTGCAGCTGAGGTAGGATGCGTTAGCAGAAGCAGCAGCTAGGGAAGCCATGCTATTTCCTGTCTGGAGGCCAGCACAGAGAGCAAAGGCGAATTCAGGACAGTTCACAGGTGGAGTCTCCTCCGTATAGCGAGGCTGCCTTTGCAGAGCCATTCTGCTTGATTCAATAACAAATTTTTGTTGCAGTTCTTGTCCTCCAAGGGTGGTTATAGTAGTCTGAGCACCACAGGCCTGTTTAGAGTCAGCTCCGTGAGAGAGGGGACAGAGTTAGAGAAGGGAAAAGACCTCGCCCTTATTCCTCAAATCACTGGCTTTTATTTCCATGGCTTCCACTTGCCAAGCCATTAGAGTAGGGAAAGAGGGTCAAAAAATGCATAGCATCAAACTAGTAGGAGTTCAGAGGAGTGGCAAGGGATCCGAGGAGCAAGCATTCGCTCTGGGTCAGCCTATGCCTCTTCTGGAGTGGAAGACCTGAGGATGTGCTATCTGTGTGGCTTCTCCCTACGTCAGGGGACAACTGGGGACTGAGCCTGGCTCAAGGGTTGCAGTCTTTTCTGAGATGCTTTCAATGGAGGGACACAGAAAGTTCCAAACACCACTAGGATTTGGCTGGAAGCAGGTGCACAGTCCTCCCCTTTCCCCCACCCCTCTCCCCCCCAGAGGAAGAGGTACTTCCAAGGCCTTACCCTTCTTGTCCTGGTGGTTATGTGAGGACACAGCCCCCAAAGGGTCTGTGCTGCCAGGTGCCTCGAGCAGGTCGTTCCAGTCCAGCATGCCTCCCCTAGACTCATACCCCTCTCGGGATGCCGAATCTGACGTGGTGGTGCTGGGCAAGAGGGAACTGGAGTGCCCTGTTTTCATCACAAATACAGTTAGGGAGACATCACTGCACACTGCATTCCCTTTGCTCAGAGGTCAGGAGACAGGACACCGTGATGACCTTGAGGCCAAGGGCACGCCCTAGCAATGGCAAGGCTTGCTGGTAGGGGTGGACTGCTCTGTGCTAGGCAGAAGATCCTATGAACCTGCAGTTAAAGCACAAAAGGCCAAAGACCGTCTCCGCCACAAGCTTACCCTGTCCTTTACTACACGATAGGGACAGTGACCCCTCCCAGCCTTGGGAAGATAAAATAGCACAATAGTGAAAGTGTCACAGTGCCTGATCCATAAATGCTCAAGACATACTAGTGTCCTTCCCTAGAAGGCTTCCTACAGCAGCATGAAAGACACTCCAGGAACATGGTTTGTGACTGATATGGCACCGGCGATAGTGGACGGCCTTTCCCATTACAGGTAACTTAGGCGATCTCAAGCCCTTCCCAGCAAGGCTCCACAGTGCATCTAGTGTTCAGTTTCAGCTCAACCTCATGGGCATTCCCCATTCTGGGAGATGCTCTCTCCCCTAAGGGATCCACTCCCATGCCTTTGGCATGGAAGCCGCCTCCTCTGCTTGTTGTTATGGACGCACCTTCTGCATCTAAAACTGGTTTCTGAGTTTCATAACTTAGTTTTATAACTCAGACTGTTTTTGTGGCCTCACTGATGAGAAGGTTAAACTAGAAAAAGGTAGATTTCGATCTTGGATGTGGCCCAGCATCAGAGAGTACCAGAAGACAGGAGTGACTGGGAGTCATGGCAGACACCCTAGATATTTCCTGTGAGCGCATTTAGAAGTTCACTCTCCATCTTGCCGCAAGATAAAAGTGCAGATTGTATCGGATCCTTTCAGCTGTCAAAATGATTTAAAGGAGCCTGATTAGCCATCCTCTCTGGTAGAAATAAAATACAGCCTCTTTGAGATTTCTGAGTGCATGATAAAGCCATCTTGAGCACTTTTTAGAGAGATCACTGAGCGCCATCTTCATATCTGTAATCTCAACACTTGGGAGGCTGAGGCAGGAGACTTGCTCTGAGCTTGGGACCAGTCAAAGCTATATAGAATAAGTTCCAGGTAAGCCTGAGAAAGAAGTCAAAAGAGCTACTGCATGTGTGTTATTGGTGTCTTTGGCACAAAGCAGAATAGACTCAGGATAATTCTAATAATTCTAACCTCAGGATATGATCACCTTACATATGATAAATAAAATAACTGGCCACCAGAAAGACAGATCCTACTGACAAATGCATCCCATTTCTCTCTATTCTTTTAATCTGCAGTTACTATTAGAAGTTGGAGTCCCAGGCCGGAGATGTTAAGATTACGAATTTAAAACAATGTATTTTAAAAATAGCATTAATCTTGAACCTCTGCTGCTGGGGAAAAGCTAAGCCAGGGGAAGAGGTTCGTATAAGCAACAATTTCTTTGGACGCACCGCACCTGAATGCTGCTATAAGGCTTTGGTAACATTTAAAAAGCCTCTTCTCAGAGCAGAACCTGGATGGTTCTCACATAGCTCGCCACATCTGTTTTGTTGAAAATAGTCTGCTTCGCAGCCCACCGCTAAAAATATGCTCACTTAAGACTCAGGGAATGTTTGATTTTTCTAGACGTTGTGTTTCTGAGTTCTGCATTGTATCTGATGCTGAGAAGAGGACAGGATCGAGAAAATCAGCCTGAGAAATGGGGGGGGGGGGGGGGAAGAATTTCCTTCCTGCTTACCTTGGCGTCTAAAACATGTTTATTTCCACACCCGAATTCATGACTACATAAAGACAAAAGAATATGGGCCAGCCGAAATTACAACTCGGCACCCAATATTGGAAGATAAATTGAAATGGCTTTGTACGTGGGTAGGGAAGTGGAGGTGGAGGTGATGGTGGTGATGTGTGTGGTGGTGGTGGTGGGGGAGGGGAGGTTGTGCTCCCCTCCAAGTAGCAAGAATTTCTTCTACCTGAATTGATAGGCGTTTTGAGCACTTTCGATTTAGCTGTGTTCAAGGGGCACTTTTATGGTAATGCCATAAGTATGGTTTAGTGAGAACATTTCTTAATATGGTAATCTAGGGGAAAGAGATGCCTAAGGGACACATTTGCTGTAGAAAAATTTCCTGGACCATATGCTACAGATACATGGAAAACTCATTGGTGATGGAAAGCTAGGGCTAGGAGGGGAAATTAATGTGGACCAGATGGTAGTTAGGTAGGAAAATGCTTTACACAAATATGAGAAATCAGCCTCTTCGTATCTCTGAAGTGTTAGTCGGATACACACCACATCTCGAGTCTCTGTATGTAAATCTAGAGAAACTATGCATCTGATTTAAAAAAAAAAAGCTCTGCAATCTTTTAAACTTGTGCTTAAGGACAGAAAGCACGGACTGGTGATGAATCGAACAAAGAGCAAATACCTGGGCCTCAAGAAGTTGAGAGCTGCCAGGTGAGAGTGTGGAGAACAGCAGGCTCTATGAGCGAGCGAGGTGAATATTCTTAGGATTCTCCATGCTTAAATGCAGCGGCTGGGAAGCCATGGATGGTCTTTCTCACAGCTTGATTTGACAGGCTATATGATATGCACTGTCTATGAGACGCCATGACCAGAATGACTTGTGGATATGGTATTGCATGTCAATAGATTTGCTGTAATCATGCAGCCCAATAGGAGAGGTCACGTGTAATCAATGGGACAGAACATATGCTCTGATAGTCTTCAAAGACACAAAAAAACTATAGCTATATTCAAAAAGTTAATTTTCATGCATCATGTCGTTTCTCTATATCTACAAATCTCTGTGATTCTAGAGGTTAGAGGCTCTTCCCGGTTAACAATGATTGTAGCCGATTAGACATAAAAGAGACACTAATTCAATACAGAGAGGTAGAGAGAGAGAAAACAGGACCCAATTCACTAAAGGGGTTCTTGCATATGTGAGCAGTGTTGCCTACAGCATTAGCCAACAGAAAACTTGCACAGTGCGCTAAAATGACCCCTTTACCTGAGAAAGAAAATCTCTTTGTGGTTTGTTCTGTGGGTCTAACTCAGTCAGGAAGTGCATGGCGCACAGAGGCTACAACAACTAACTGTGCAGGTGCATTCTGGACTGGCTCCCTTGTCTGTATTCATGCCCAGAAAGGTAGCCATTTGGTCCTTCCTCTGAGGTTACAAATCCGGCACCTGATCCATTGGCTGGCATATAGCTGTCGCTCAACGAAGAGTTGTTGGGTGAATTAATTAAATATTTTCCTAGTTAATGCCAAGATAGTCATCAGTTATGAGAATCTGCAAGTACTGTCTAGAGTACCACTCTTTTTTTTTCTTTTAAAAAATGTGATTTCCCTCCTTTGAAAGCCTCTCTTTAGGCCCTCTTGGTAATTTCCTGACCTCTGTGGTGGATCATCACTCATCTTGATGGTCAATTAGCCACGTCTCCACTGCATACTGAGTAGCTACCTGCAAGGGGCAGGGTCATAAGCTACAGGGAAAGCGCCACTCTTCTTTGCTTCCTTACAGAAGTTCAAAAGTTCACAACGACCGGGCGTTACCCTTGAAAGTCTTAATTTTTCCATTAATATACGGAAAAATTAATAAATGCCTGTTCTTTGAGGGGGAACTGAAAAATCCACTTGCTTGAAGAATGATTATTTTGCCCATAAAGAGCATCCCAGAGCTCAATTATATGTTTGAAGAATTCCCCGGGAGTTAAAATTGGTCTTGAACAACTGATGAATGCCAGGAGGTTGCTGGCTCAGTTGGTTTCAAGGTTTGGATTTCTCGACATCTGATAAAATTTCTTCAGCTGTAGGCAACGATGGTGAAGTCTGACATTGCAAAGGAACAGGTGCTAAGTGGTTGCCTCCCTGAAGGTTAAGGTTAAGCTAGATGACATTTGCCTTTTGAGCAATTTTTTCCTGGTCTGTGTTGTTCAATATTCTGGTTTGAATCATAGATGAGAGAATGTCAAAGGTGGAGAAATCCAGCGGCCTTGTCTGTTCCCTCCTGTTTCACCTCATGAAGGGGATGGCCAGGGGGAGTGTATTGCACAACTCTGGCTTTTAAGACAGCCTTGAAGACTTCACTAAGCCTTCTGGTTTATGCTACTCGGTCTCATGGATTAAAAATTTACACAGCGATTGAGCACATCTGTAGACACCTTGAATTCTTCTTTGCATCCTAAATCTTGTGTTTTTCTTCTTTTCATCTTTCCCTCCATTTTAACCTACTCTTATACTTAAAGACTGACCCTTAATTACTCCTACATTGTATATCTCAAACACACATAAAAGCTACAAACTGTTGAACTCATGGTGCAAAGTCAAATGCAAAAGCTTAAATTTGATACCATAGAGATGTTTTCAGCTTATGTTTTGAAAAACACATTCAATCATTTATTTTGAAAAACAAAGAGGGAACAGCTGCATTTAGGCTTGCATGTGCAGAAGTGCGGACACTTCCTGACCTCCCACCAGCGCCTGAATGTTTCAGGCAGAGGACAATGGGAGAAATCCTGTTTGGACATCACGCCTACAGCCTCACACTTCCTCACATATGTTCTGGAAACAAAACCTCACTGAAAATTGTGGTCAAGCAAATATCCAAACTCATTCTGAGTTTAAGTTTTGTTGGTCGATTTCATGCTATACTGCACAGGTTCACCTCCAAAGACCCTGGTGTCTGTGCCCTATATGGGAATTCCCCTATGGGGGAAGGTTATCCTAACAGCCAAGATTGGGGAGATGGTATTGAGGGGCTACCGTTTATGAGTTGGAGTCCCTGTTATATATCTTGAATCTCCTTATACACAAGCATATTTAAGAAGAAGAAATCTCTTTTCACTTGAGAATCCATTAGATGTATTTACCAAATTCTTGAATGTTTCATATTCTGTGGATTCAATATATAAGATTTGTTCTCCCTCATCAATCATCCCATATAGGCAGAGTGATTTTTTTTTTAAGATTAGGGAAATCTAGAAATAAGTTTAGTGAATTGGAGCCCTGAAGTAACAAAGAATCTGGTCTATGATTAGGAATGAAAACTACAAACTACCAAAGGATGAGTAACTTTAAGTATTAATATTGATATGTATAGATAGATATATCAATAAACTGACCATACACTGTGTTGAAAGACATTTCATAATCTGGTAGAGGAGTTGAAATGTCTATAAAAAATGAGGATAAAAATTAATTAAAAATATATGGCTTAAAATACTCAGGTGAATTAGTGCAAAGTTTTCCATGGACATAAAATTATGACAGTAGCATCTTCCTTACCATTCAGGGCCACGAAGGAATCTGAAAGACAAAAGAAGGGAGGTGGTTACTTAACCACACATTCTTAGTGACTTACACAGTGAGGGGGGATGAGCTAATGGGAGCTAGGCCAATGGGGAAGCCCTAACACTGGAAACTATTCCGCTTCCTGCTTGTAACCTAATCTGCTTCCTGCTCAGTTCAATGTTCTATCTCTCCACATCTCTTCCACTGGCGTGTGTCCCCAAAGTCATTGCTAACTCAAGGCTTAGGAGAAGAAATGGTCACTGCAATGATTATATGAGAGTCAGGAAGCCATGCTCAACTTGGTACAAAAATGCATGGCTGTGGATAAAGTAACCAGGCCACATCTGTAAGGAAGAACTTTTCTTCGTGCTCTGTGTGCTTTCACCCCCATGAATGGACTGAGAGAACTGTTCAGTATCATAATCCATAATGTTCTTAACTCATTGGCAGTTTTAGTGAGGAAATTAAAAATCCAAACACACACATGTGGGAGGCCACATAAGTAGGTTTGTGTGCTGAAGTCTAGGTCAGATTACTGGTTCAACAGGGACCCTCGGTGGCTTTTCTCAAAGTCCTGTCAAATTCAGTGCAGCAATTATACCAACACCCTCTGAATACACACACACACACACACACACACACACACACACACACACGTATGTGTGATAGAAGTAGTTCCTGTTCTGGTGGGAGCAGGCAGAGGGGAGAAGGCCTCAGGACTGCGGGCAGATAGAGGCATAGTCTCACCTTCTGTCCTGAGTGGGGTAAAGGACATGAAGGAAATAGGCTTTACAGCTGGCCTTGGGCATTAAACTACATCACTAAATCGGAACTTTCTACTTTACATATGCTTGTTCTCTTAGGTTACTCTGCCTGAGAACATAGATATGTATTAAGCACACACTAGTAATCCATCAGCATCTCCTTTGTATATTTCCTGATTCAAGCCAAATCTATCTTCCTATTTTTCTACAGAGACTTATACTACCAGATAACAAAAATGTGACAAAAATATCTTCTAAAGCTAACTTAAGTATCTGTAATATCTCCTACCCTTCCCCCAAACACCCTCTCTTTCCAAAACTTTAACTACAAGGCACATGATAATTAAGATACAATGATTGCACTTCAAACCCTTTTACTGATGCAGGTGAATAATTGCATACATGGCACAGATGTTTGGGTGATAATAATCTCCTACAACAATTTTGATGCATAAGCATTTCATGAGAAGGTATGAAAAATGAAAACGTTGGCCACATATTGTACTAATAATTCAAATTACGTAGGGTCAAGAACTTGCAGGTAAGGCTGATTATTGTCCTCTTTATTTGATTATTCTATATGTCTTACAAAAGCATATGATAGAAAGTTGAATGATAACCTAGTCTGAAATTTTGGTTCTTATGACTTAGAATTATATCCATGGGCTTTGTTATAGAGTCAAATGCTATTAGTCACCCAGTTTGGCTCCCTTAAGAGCCGTTTTTCAGTGCCCTTTTGATTTCAGATTCCATAAAATTCTGCACAGGGGACTTCTTCAAAAAATTCACCAACCAGGTGATTCTCCTTTAAGATGCCCACACCTACATTTTCAGATCTGTCTTAGCTTCTTCCTGAATGCCTTGCTTTCTCTTAACCCCAGTGCTTAGATGCTGTGTTAAAGACTCTTAATAAATTCTAACTCTGCCTTTTAAAAAAAGGTAACAAGCCAAACATGCTTTTGCTAAGAGCATAGCATTATTACTTAAGTTCACAACACTAAACCATTTTCAGGAAAATCTTGATATTGCTTAGATCATAAAACAACTAGACAGCATTCTGGGATCTCTTCTAGAAGGTTCTAAGTAGAATGTTGCCACTTAATAGTATGTGACATGAACTCTGAGAATGATGTAGATCAATTTCTATAAAGAGGACATTTAGAATTGCTTTATGCTCATGGGTTAATTTATGTTTGTTCCTATTTCAAATGGTTTCATATATATATATATAAAGTATATACATAAATCAAATTTTGAAAATTAATTACTTTCATTGGCGAATATGTTAAAGAACACGAAGACAGTTGCACTCAGGAAGCTAGAGTACCATGATTAGGCTTTTGATTATTTGGCTAACATGTGGTGTAACAGCACATTATGAAACACAACAAAACTGTCATTTTTGTAATGGGAACACTGCCATAACTTACTGCTTTGCTATGATTAATATCCTCTAGGATGATATGTTCGACACATTAGAGTTATGGGAGAGTTGTCCACATTTACAGCAATCACCCTGGCAGTGTTGACTTCCACACACACCATTTCCTTCGTTATGTCCAGAGTCATTTGCACTGAGTTCTACATGCGGTGTGATGCTTCTAGACCATCTGATAGCAACTTAAGGTGAGTTTATAAGAATCTTGTTACCTCTGGCCAGGACAACTAACTGATGAGCCCTTTCCCAGCCCCTTCTCACTGACTCTTTCTGTTCCACCCCAAGAATTTATATGAAAATATGCCAAACTCCAGCTCTGTCAAAAGTCACAGAGCGGCCTTCAAAGCCACGCGAATAATGCAGAGTGGGTCATAGGACGTCTTTATCCATAAGCAGACAGAGAGTTAAAGACATTACTTACTGTGACAGTCTCCTAGGCCATCCGTATTGCCACGCTCTATGTCCTGTTCGAAAGTCAGCCTTTTTTAAAAAAAAAAAAAAATTGGGAGAACAAGGAAAAAGAAAAAAATAAACAATGCCATGAGCCGTCACTCAGAAATGAGTCTTCAGTTTCATTTTTTAAAAAAAGTGACCTGTTTGCTAAGTTGAGTGGCCGGTGTGAAAGGAAAAGAAGCCCTCTGCAGCTTATTAAATGAGTTTGATGTGAAACTTTAACAAGAAGCTATGGTAGCAGAGAGTTCAACCCTTGTGCGGGAAGTCAATTAGTGATGGGTTCTTATCCTCCCTCACTCGTGTTCCTTAAGCACTACTTAAACATCCGATAAGTTTCCACTCTAAAGTTCACGCATATAAACAATATGTGAAGTATAGATGGAAGGGTCTGGTCCTTTCCGTGACCTGTTTTACTCTTCTCTGTGCTTTCTTTCCCAAGTCCCTTTTCCCATTCCTTTGCCCACAGAACACATATAACCAGTGTTTACAGGCACGCCTGGCCAGTGAGCACGTGAGAGGGCGGTCCCTGGCTGAGGGCTTGCGTTCTCCCTGTTCTCTCCGATCCTCAGAGCTCCTTTCTTTCCCCTCCATTCCTGGTCTTCACCATTCAGTTTGAAATTTAAAACAAGCACACTAGATTTGTCCACAGAAAGCGTGTCTTTCGGGAGAACTTTGCGCTTCTGTTTCTAAAATGTAATTGAAAATTCTGATCTGTGGCTGCCTCGCAGTGTATCATGAACCCCGTAAGGAAACTGCTTTGAATGTCGCACCTTGATCTAATAATCCGGATTTAGCCTCTAATGTCTTTGGTTATAATGGAAATTAAATTCATCCTCTACGGATAGGGATTTCGTCTCATAATGAAAGCCAGTATCCACCCAGTCCCCAAACCCCCTCTCCCAGCAGAGCCCCACATGTGTTGAGCAGGGCCTGTGGCACCGGAAACCGAAACATGGATGCAGACTTGAAAGGAAGTCTCTGGGAGTTCTGGTAGTCGCTTTAAAAACAGTTCATAGAAATCATGTTACCTCTGGCCAGTTGCTGAATACAGGACAACTAACTGATGAGCCCCTTCCCAGCCCCCTCACTGATTCTTTCTGCTCTACCCCAGAAATTTCATGAAAAGATGCCAAACTCCAACTCTGTCAAAAGTCACAGAGCGGCCTTCAAAGCCACGCTAATAATGCATGGGGGGGGGGTCATCTGCGGCCCCCGGGTTTCCAGGTCGTCTTTTACCATGATCATTAGCTTTGTTCAAGAGAATATTTCTTAAATTATGTGCACGGCAGTCACCAAATTGGCTCTTCTACTTGTTCAGCTATTTTAAAAGCGGAAAAAATGCTTCCAGCTTAGGGAGCTGGGTCTGGGGAGACTCTTTGGCTGCAGGGGAGCGCTGGACTGCCCTGGATAGATACCTCACTTACATTGTCCACAACTTTTCTGAGACATGCTTTGAATAGTTTTTCCAAATGTTGTTTTAGATTTCACCTCTAACGAAGTTAAAAAAAAAAAAAATCACAGGCAGAGCAGAGGAGTTTGATCTAGGGGACCAGTTGGGGAATTGCCAAACATGGACTGTGTGTGTAATGAGCAATGAGATCAAGGTTTGTTCGGCCTAGGAGATAGCTTTATTGGATGAGAGCACCATGCTTGAAGCATGATCACGTGGGTTAACGTATGCTCCGCTGTTTCTTCTCAGCCTCGTCTGGTCAATTAGCAGACTCAGTTTGCCGTGGCTGGACAAACCATCCACTAACCTCATGGTAACCAGCGGCTCCTTTCTCTGCTGTCCTCAAACCAGGATGCTCACGGTGTGCATTTTCATGTACCACTCTCTAGGGAATACTTTTGAAGCCCACTGTGTTCCCTTTTTGTGTTCTTAACCAGTCTAGTCTGGGGGGGATTATCCCATGGGCACTGTGCCATGTACGACCCCGAGTCTCTGAACTGAGTTGGGGATGGAGAAGGCGCCTGTCAGTTCTGTGGCTGAAATTCTCATACACAGAAGTTCCTGACAGTTTGAGGGAACACAGCCAAGCCGACATCTAGCATGAAGAGGGATCAAGGCACTTTGCCTCCCCACACATCAGGCTCCTTACCTGCTGAGGGGTGACAGATGGGCACAGGAACCGCTTTCCTTCACCCACCCACAGTATGGGTCTCTGGAGGCGATGCAGGTTCTGCGGGGATGGGGAAAAGATAACTGTCAGCTACCCAAGATTGCTAACTACTGTGGACTGTCTAGTTGTCAATGAGGTGAAACACGTACTTTTTACATTTGCCATGGCGCTCGCAGCGGCCGAGAGGCACCTTTATCACGCAGGTAGAGAATGCTACATACAGGGAGCCACTTGCTCTGTCGAGCTGCATACCCATAATCCTTTTGTCCTCCACGCCATCATAGCTGCACCTGTTTTGTGAGGCAGGCGGAGACCATTAGTAAACTCTCGGGAAGGATTTCCTTTCTCCTGCACCACCCCTGTATGCCATTTTGGGGCTGACATTCTGACCTCATAATTTAAGATACCTTATGTAGATGCCCTACATGGGCGGCTATAGGATCATAACGTTATTGCCAAGAAAAAACTAATTCTCAGTATTTTCTGGGGTTGGTGTGAAAAGTAACTGGAAACTTCATAAACCAACTTATCTGCCATGGTTTTCCACAGACAGAAAGGTCTACAGTAGCATGACCAATAATCACCAAGCAAGGACCCAAAGTTTGACTCACTTTTCCGGGTTGTAAACATTCATCTCCTCCAGGAAAACGCTGCCATTTAAGAAACCACTGCTTCCTATCCTGGCCAAGAACTTCAAGATGATTCCCTTTTCTGATCCCAGGAAAACCACAGTGTGATTCTGATACGGCCCAGCGGCGTTGTCTACTGCAATTTTGGTCAGGCGGTACCTAAAATAACAGAATCACATTTGGGGGGAGGGGGAAAAAGACTTTTTGTTAGTCTGTCATTAAAGGTCCCCTTTCCACTTCAAACAACTGCGACCCAGCTTTCTAGTAACAACAATGTCATGAAAAATATATGCAAGTAAGTAATGCTCTCCAGCCGTCCTGGCCCTTTGTTTTCATATGTAGCACATTCGGTTAGCTCCAACAGGGAGAAGGAAGTTATGTGTGTGCGGAGGCCAAATTCCATAGTAAATCAATAGCCATAACCATATGCAAGCACTCAGCACCGATCCCTTCCATAGGCAGTAAGGAAAGACTGATGGCGCCAATGGAGGGGACAGGCATAAGAAGTGACTGTGCTTAGCATTCTTTGCTACATCGAGAAGGAAAGCAGTGGATCCCATTCTCCGTGCTTTTCCGAGGAGGTGCAAAGTGTTTGTTAACAAGAGGCAAGATTAGAGAATGTTCTGATTGTACACAGAGGAGGGAAGAGGGCCCTGAAGGCGAAGGACTCTGAACAGCACGAATATCGGGAGCTGCAAGCCAAACCACGGTTGGTAAGGGAACGGAGAAAGACAAGCGCAGAATGAAGTTCTAGTGGGTATCTATCCTCTTTCTAGAAAATTCTTTGGTCATTTCACCTTTCACAGATAATTATTTGTCCTAAGTACCAAGACAGGAACAAAAAAACACCAGTCTTCCTATGAGAAATAGGCCGTGGTTGCTAGGTTACGCTCAAGTAATTTTATAATTCAATAAAAGTCAGGGGATTTGAAACAGGGTGAACTCACTATTTTGTGACATCGACTGCCACAATTTAGAAAAGCCTGCTGTAGTATTTGAAAATAAGCTTCCATTACAAAAGATATTGGATGCCATCAGAGCTCTCCAATCAGCTACTACTGCTCTGTTGGCATGCCTTCAGATAACGAATACTAAGGTATAACTCCCTCACGCTGCCATGCCATTACATACACAGTGTCCCTTCATGCCATAACCCAATCATGTGGAACCAAGCAGGTAACAGCTTCTTCTCCCGGGTCCTCCCTCACTATGCCTCTGCACCGCACAGATTGGATTAACAAGCTAATCTGGAAGGAAGTATTTTTCTTTCTTCTAATTGCTGGCACACGGAGAACCGGCCTGAAAATACTGGCACTCTTCTTACTGGGAATGCAGCGATGGGGATTTGGTGGCATCTACCCAGCCCGTCAACATTTCCTAGCTGAATCAGTGCCCAGGATAGCAGAAGATGTTTGTGGCATTTCAAAGCATAATCCACTGACAGAATCCACGAACACAAGATGAAGTCAAGGAAATCCATTGAGGACGCGGTTGGCTTGACACCCACCTGACCATCGTTCTCAGGAACCACGGCCGGTTGATGATGGACGGTACTGCCTCATCCATGAGTGGGTGTGTCTTAATGAAGTTCAGGGTGTCGTCAGGAAGCTCATTGGAGGTTGCATATCTTTCTAAAGACGAGGAGCCGGCACAACAACCTGGCCTAAAATGAGACAAAGGTTGAGGTTGAGGGGTGGGGGAAGAGTTATTTCATGCCTTCTGGCAAAGTCTTTGAATGAACGGCTTCTCGAAGCATCTGGCATGGAGGAGACTGTGCCACAGGCGGCGAAGAGGAAGATGAAGAATGCAGAAGGGCACCAAGAACAATATGCTGAGATTTCCACTGGACCGCCTCCTCATTCTGTGAAGAAGCCTTAGCTGGGACAGCTCAGTTTCATCTCCAGGCAGCTTGGCTTCCTTCCAGATGTGCAAACAAACCCCAGTGAACAGAGATGGAGCTGGAACTGAGTGTGTGTGGGGGGGGGGGGGGGGGGGGGGGGAGGCGTACATCCCAGGGTTGCTTTATGCTATCTGTCAACTTGATACAAACCTAGACACACCTGGGAAGAAAGACCCTCACCTGAGAGACTGTCTCTAATCACTCTGGCCTGTGGGCTTCTCTGTGAGGCGTTTTCTTAACTGGTAATTCATGTAGGAGGATCCTGCTCACTGGGGATGGTACCACCTCTAGGCAAGTGAGCCCAGGCTGTGTCAGAAATGTGGTAGAGCAAACTAGAGGAGGCAAGCCAGTAAGCCATGTGCCTTATGGTTTCTGTGTCAACTTCCGGCCTTGGCTTCCGGCCTTGGCTTCCCTTGATGATAGACAAGAATAAACTCTCCCTAAGTTGTTTTTGGTCATGGTATCTATCATAGCAACAGAAAGCCAACTAGGAAACCTTGCAAGAGGTTCTAGATGCAGTGGTTCTCAACCTTCCTAATGCTGGGATCCTTTAATACAACTCCTTATGTATGGTGTGGTGACCCCAACCATAAAATTATTCATTTTATTTATTTATGTGTTTGTTTGTTTTCAAGACAGGGTATCTCTACAAGCTTTGGAGTCTGTTCTGAAACTAGCTCTTGTAGACCAGGCTGACCTTAAACTCACAGAGATCCACCTGCCTCTGCCTCTCGAGTGCTGGGCATGTGCCACCACTGCCTGGCTCCATAAAATTATTTTATGGCTACCTCATAACTGTAATTTTGCTACCCTTATGAATCATAAATGTCTTATATGCAACCCCCAAACTGGTCACAACCCATAGGTTGAGAGCCACTGTTCCAGAGACATGTATTCTACAAAGGAGGGGACTAGGCTAATGCTTTCACAAGCATAAAAAAGAGAGATTTCCACAGAGGTACACACCAGCAACACTCAGTGTTACAACCTCTCGAAGTCTATTAGTTCACGTGTCGTTCTTGTCTTCGTTTGTTATGAGATTTGGGCAGGTCTGAAAAGCCAGTTACACCGAAGATCTTTCCTGAAAGACCAATTCCTTGCAACTGAGCAGATCACGCAGGTGAACTTTCGAAAGAAATTCTATCATTTGTTGAGGTACATGGAAATCTCAGCAAAGTCAGATCAGAGCATACTAAGTCTGGTGCAGGAGAGGAAACCATGCCCCACGATACAACCTTTTCCCATACCGTGGCGTTACAGCCTGTGGGCCCTCCACAGTCAGCCTGCTCTTCACAAAAGGGATGAGACGAGATAGGGAAGCATGTGGGTACACACAGTGACATGGGAGAAAAATCCCTTAACCCATGTCCTGGTGATGCCTGCATGACACCATATTTATACACCAAGACCCCCCCCCCCCAGAAACCAATCCCTCCACTTTAACTCCCTTTCTTGATCATTCAGAAGGTATTGATGTGGGCAATCTATCTAGTCCCTAATGTGTACTTTCACAATGAGTCTTCCTTGACCAGAGAAGGAACATGGCAGGTAACTCAGCTGACAGAAAGGGATGGCCCCTTGGGCTTCTTTGGTTCCTGATATCTAAATTGATTCAATTAAATGCACTTGTAGGTATCTTGGTAGGACGGCAGACCAAGGGAGACCATTAGAACAACAACAACAACAACAACAACAACAAAAAGCCAGGAAGACATTGGGCTTGCTTCCAGCGCCACATAAACTCAATATAGAGATTTCCCCGTAACTTAGACCACAAGGGGAAAGGTGTTGGGTATAAGTCACAGAGTTGGAAAACATAGGGTCAGGATGGGAAAATATTCTTCTCGAGTTAACTATTTAATGGGAGCATATAAAGAGATTTGATAGATTGATAGAACTGACATTTTTGCAGTGTCTCTGGGTGTTTCTATGTGAGCGAGTCTAGGGCACAGCTTGGGAAAGGCTAGCACCATATTGTAGGTGGACGCAGAAAAGCAACGCACCATACCAAATAACAATTCTTACACTTGTCCTGGCGCCCTGGAATCAACTCTGATCCCACTTGTTCCCCTAAGTCGAGGAAGTATCATTTATATTTTACATTTTATTGGGATTAAAGAGTTCCTATACAATGAGAGGGAGGCACAGCAGAGGTATCTCTCTAGTTATATGAACTTGCACAATACAGTTTACTCTCTGGTCCTTAAATTTTCCACCTATAGACCAACGGGACCAGCTCTAGCAGATGGTTCCTATCACCTATTATATTGGGCAAACCACATTTACAAAGGTTAAGCAGAAGACTAAAAGACATGGTTTGTGGGTACTAAAGATTACTCTGAGTTCTGGTAAGGATTGTGAACGCAAATATCACATCATGAGAGTCTTCCTGTTGTTTTTGGGTCTCTATCTGCCTGGCTTGGGATGCAAGGCTCCAGTGTGTAGTCTTCAGGATGCTCACTATCAGAGAAGCCAGTTTCACCATTTCAGGGTTTAAAGATAGCTGACTAAATAAATATTTGCACATACCTGGGTTTAGGGACGCGCTCGTCTGGAACCGGAGTCCAAGTAGAATCAGGAGACTTCTGTTCCTTGAACCTCCCAGTAAAAACATTGGCAATGTCGAGCATGTCATAGGCACAGACTGCAGACCCGGGGATGCTACAAAGGACATTTCACACCAGGTGTTACTCACATAACTGCTATTCATCCCCTTAGAAAACATACTCTGAAGAAACTCTTATTGCAGGCAGGTAGGATTTAAAGTCCATATCCTGAGCATTATAAATGAAGGGATCATGAGTGTAAAGAGACCAATCAAATTTGCATCAACAGTCTTAAAGAACAGACTCGCTAGTGCAGTAAACTCAAGGGGAAAAGCCCATCATTTCTTCATTGCCTCTTGAGCCCCTTTGTTTGTGGGGTGGGGGAGAATTACGAGCTTATTATAGAAATTCTGTGAACCCCACAGAGAACAGGGTCCTGCCTTTAGTAGCTAGGCCACAGTTTAGGATGGAGATTAAAAAAAAAAAAAAAAAATCAATTCAGGGCAAGCCAGTCAGGACACGTTTCATAGCATAAAATGCCTCCACGGGGTTTTGATGGGTGGTCACTGGTCAGGCTGTAGGACTTTACAGAGAAAGAAAGGCACATTCCAGAACCAGACCTCAGGTCTGGCAAGCCTGTGGTATAGACTGTGTGACAAAAAAATGAGGGAAACAGACTGAGGAGGGAAGGGAGCCAGACCATGCTGGGGCTGGTGTGCTAGACCAAGGTGCTTGCTTGCTCTTTTTCCCCAGTGTAGAGAGGGACCCCTCAAGGATTGGCAGCAATCTGTCATAACCAAGGCTTCCTATGTGGAGGAGGAAGTGGAAAGGGATGGAACGAGAGTGAATAAAGGCCACATGTAATTTAGGATGAAAACGGTATACACATTTGTAGACTGGCAAGTTAGGCTGTCTGATCTGACTGAACAAATAATATTTCTGACACCGCATAATCATTATAAGATAATTTTAGGACCACTTAAGAAAATAAATGAGTTTATAATATATGAGAACTCACTATGGTATTATAATCACAAAGTAACCCAAACTTTTAATAAAACAAAACCCCAAACTAGAAATGTATTTTTAAATCCCACTAACCCCTACATTTCCATGTACCAAGGCAGCATGTTTTCCAAAAACCCTAGATAGATGGGATCTTACATGTGAATATTCAAACCCTGAAATATTTTATATCTTCCCTGTTCTCAAGTCTAAAAATCCCTATAGATGATTAAAGCTTGCCTAAATCTAATCGAATACTTCTTGCTGCGATATAAGCTCCCACTTTCATTTATCTTCAGTGAGAAATCCTTGGCACTTGCTCTCCCTGTAACTGAGGAGTATGAGTTCATCTTTCAGCTCGCTCTCTTCCGAGCTCTACCCAATACCTAGGCATGTCTTTCTAGATGCTATCTTCCAGCTTATCATTTTTCATGCCTGTCATCTAGGCACTCCTGAAGTTCATGAAAGTCCTCGTAAAAAGTCTAATCCTACGTGTATGCTTAGAAGAAGATATTCCGTAAGGAAGCTCTAAAATCATACACAGACAAAAGAGTATGGTGCATGCATTTAGAGCTCATGGTCAGAGGTTACACCCAGAGTTATGCTCATTTCCCCCAATAGTGTTGGGACTCTGAAACCTTATTGGCTTTATGGAGAGCTGGATGCCAGCGAAAGACGGTCATTCTGCTAGTCTATCATTTCCATGCATATTCACTGTGTTGGGATCAATTATTAATGTGCCATTTAATTAATTAATATTTCTGATGAACTAAACATAAAATAGAGATGAACCGACAGTATTTTTAGGGATAGTGTTTAGTGACTTATGAGTCCTCACTAAAACCTTCCCAGCTGCACTCATGCTGGGGTTGGGATCTGGGCCATGAACTAACTGCTTAAACCATTGGAGGTTTGCATCCTCTAGTGGGATACTAACTAGAATCTTGGGTGGAGCCCTTGGCAGGTTCCCTTGCTCCTAAATTTCTCACTGAAGCAACTTCTCAATGTAGCATTTTAATAATGCCCACTCTACACACACACACACACACACACACACACACACACACACTCTCACACACTCACACACTCCCAGTTCAGTCAGGGAAACACTACAAATGAAACAGGAATACCAGATGACCTGTAAGAGATCAGAGGAAGATACTGAATTCCAAACCTGTCCCTTCTATCACTGACTATGTGATCCAGGCAATGAAATGTTTTAAGCTTTTTCTTCATGTGTGAAAAGAGAACAATAAAATTTGGTTTACCGAAAGGATTCACATACAAAGGATTTAATGTCAGTCATATAAATTGACGATATTGCCATAACTTACTTCCCTAAAAATCTTAATTTAATAATGCTCACAAATTCTAATTAGTTCATTGATGAAAACTCAAAGTAATGCTTGTTATGTACAAATAGTGACGGCTGCCTTTCCATCAGCTGCAAATCTTTTCCCCAAGGAAAAGGGAGCTGGGAAGAATATATTAGGTCAACACAGCCAGGGCATGGTTACCTGTTATAAGGTGTGGAAAAGGTTGCCAAGACAACGTCACGGCCATTAATGCGAATCACATCTGTAACCGCCTGGAGTATATTGAAATAAAAATGAGAGTCTCCAGGCACTGAGCAGTTCAGGCGAGCCTTCAGGAAAGACGTCCACTGCTTCTCCAGGACTCTCTGAGACCCTCCCATGTCATTCTTACAAACCTGAGCCACCCTAGGGAAGACAACCTGCGGAGAAAGGCACACAGAGAGGATGAAATGCAGATCTTAGAAGATTTTGCCTTCGCCAAACAGAAATGGAACAACAAGCTACTTAATTTAATAATGCATTTCTAAAATCAAAACAAAAAAAAAAGGAAGAAAAAAGGAAAAACGTCAGCATAGAAACAGAATGTTTTAAAAGATAAGGCGATGGCATTTAATACGGAGCCATAAATCCTTCAGGGGATGAGCTCCCAGCCACATAAACTCATTTCCATACAGACTGCTTAGCTTTTATTTCCTCAGACAAAAGCACACTTTGTATGCGCCATCTCTGCCATCCCTACTGCCTGCCTCTGGGGTCTGAAATTTCATACTTGGAGTGTGAGTCCTTCTAACCGTGCAAGCCACCCTGGTATTTTGTTTGCGCCCTCTAACTCAGTGACCTTGATCTGCTGTCTGGTAAAAAAAAAAAAAAAAAAAAAAAAATAGCTGAAATAAACATCCTCTAACTGTAATCTTGCTTTCTACAATAAAACGAAGACTCAGTTTGCCTAAAGATACTGGGTATGGATTCTCTCTATGGAGTCACTCAATTAAAAGGGGAAATTGTACCTGGGAGCTACATCTCAAAACACTTCAAATGAAACAACCAAACATCTGTTAGTTAGATCTTCAGTGGAGAAATTCAAGAGGTTCCCTGTAATTTGTTACTGTTCTGAAAAAGTGGCTTGGGCTTCCAGACAGCTTAGTCTGTCGCTTCTGCCCATCCATAGTTGTGTTGTTACTGGGTTCACAATTTGCATCTCAAGGTCATTTAAAACAACACTGGTTGCAAAGACAGGTCTCTGAAAATGTCACAAAGGGAGCCAGGGATGCCCTCCCCTCTTACCTTCCCCATGGTGTTGTACTCTACCGCAATTTCTCTGAAGAAGAAGTAGATATAGTCTCCATAATCCAGTGCTTGGACAAAGTAGGGCTCTGTGGACAAATGGGCATGTTAATTGGAGATATGTCACATAGTGTTAAGAGAATTTTAATCAAGTGTAGCCAAAGACGTGTTATTAATTGAAAGCGTAGGGCTATTAGACATGTGGTTAACACTAACCAACTCTAATGGCTTCACAAGTGCCGGCGCTAGTGATTTCAGAAAGCACTTGAGCCTACAAATTACATCTTTCCCAAGCTTTGCCACCGAGGGTGAAGAATAAGTACGCTTTGCAAATCTCCGGAGTTTTATTTTTCACGGTGGAACGTCCATATTGCCTAGAGTAGTTGGTGCACACTGCTCCGTCACCCTGACTCACACAGGCCTGGGAATGGCTGATTTCCTGTTCCCCACCACTTCATCCCCCGTTCCCTTTCATGAATGCTCTGTTCAGCTCTTTTCATGAGGGACTCTGGAATGAGAGTTTGGGGCAGGGAAAGATGAATGTTATGCATTCTATTGTCGCAGCGCTGGTGGTTTTGCTAATACTCCAGAAGTTCACGGGAAGGGGAACAGGGAGGCAAATAAATGAGTGGAGGCAAAGGATGCAATTTACATGGTTTCGGCTGTCAGAAACCATTACCAAAATGAATCTACAGTCTGGTCCATCCAGACTCTAAATCTCTTACGAGGTCTGCGTCGCTCCTCCCTCTCTTCATTTAATTGCTCACCTTTCAACCACTTGGAATCATGTTTGACGGTCCTGAGGGTAGGGCTGTCTCCAAGGCTTCTGTAAATGACCGCATCAATGGCCAGGAAGTCAGTTACTGTGGCAGAGTAGAGTTTTCCCTCTGAGGAGAAAAGGGAAAGAGTCGAACAGGGTACCAAACAAGGCAGGGATGGATGACAGTGAAGATGTACCCTAGACTGCTCTCCAACATCAGGCAAATGAGATGGGACAACTGGGAAAAATCCAAGAAAAAATGCTTGGCCCACGCTCACCATTTGAGATGGGGATCATGAGAAAGGAAACATTTTTCATTTTTAAAATTGCACGGCAATTTTTCCAAGCAACAGTGGCAGCGGCAGCTGCTCAGGGAACAGAGTAAATGAAATATGCTATTTGCTTCACTTGATTAGACGGACCTTGACTGAAATCTCAAGGCCAAGGACCCTTGGACACTACTCCTGCCATCAAGCCATGGCCAACTGGATTAGGAGGGAGTCGTGAGACATAATAAGAGAGCGACTGTATCAACAAAGGCTTTAAATCCATTCAGAAATATGGATGACCTGAGTCCGAGCTGAGTTTGATTGAGTAAGGGGAAGAGGGAGACTCATAGGCTCCGGTGGCTGACCAGATGCCTACTTCTGTCCTGAGACTCACAGTCCCTCTTTTCCTTAGTCATAAAAGTACAGGCTCACTCAGTTGGGCCCAGCTTTTGAGTTCTGGGGATTCAAATTCAGGTCTTCATGCTAGGATGGCAATCACTTTACCCATAGAGCTACCTCCTTAAGTGTGTTCGATCCATTTTTAATGAATTTTATGGTTCCATTAATTATATTCAAAGAAACTTATGTATGACATAGTGCACTTTAAGTTTTTCCATATGTAAAATCTGTGGCTGATAGTTAAGTAAAAAACCTTGAATAAACATCTTTTTAGAAAATTTTTTTAGATGCATTTATTTTATGTGCATGAGTATTTTGTTATCATGTAGGTATGTGCACCATGTGTGTGCCTGGTGACCAGGGATGTCAAAGAAAAGAATGCATAGGCTCTCAGGGAACTGGAGTTAAAGATGGTTGTAGACACCACAGGGGTGCTGGGAAGCAAACCCAGGTCCTCCGAAAAACAGTGAGTGCTCTTAACCTCTGAGCCATTTCCTGCTTGCACCATATCCTGCCTCTGTTGGCAATAATGGCATTTACTTCTAACAAGGCTCATCCATTAGCAAATACTTAGTTTTTATAAGATGTCAAACGTTCCAGTGCAAAATGATCCAATATCCCTCCTGCTTGGATAAGGAAACATGTCTTTTTCCTTGTAGCTGTTGGAAGCGAGGCAGCCGTCACAGTCAGTCCCCTTTCTAGTTCAGAAGTCTTCTCTTTAGATTCCATTTAACACCGAGTCTTCCCTCGCCTTGTTGCTGACAGTACAGGGATGCTTCTGTCTGTGCTGTGCTGGAACCTTCCTGTTTCTGCACTCTGACCCCATGGACCAACCCCAAATGGGAGACACTGAGAAGGAGCTGGGAATTAACTGCTACATAACCAAAGCCCAAGAGTTCCCACAGCAGTTAGGCTCTGCCAGGTTTTTGCTGTCATGATGGTAAGGACAGCTGACGGTCTGACTACATCCTAGAACAACGAATCCCTTTTATACCCAACACGTCTCTCTGCACCCTCTTCCACATATACAGCTGACACTGAATTCCTAAACAAACTTCCCAACTAAAACATGCTCATATACAAAAATCCCACGAAACTGGAAAATGCTGGCCTACTAGCTACTTCTCTACAGCCTGTTCAGCAGGAACAGGGGCTCCCATAGGCGATCAGTAACTCAGCACTATGGCCGTTTGGTCAGAGGTATGCACATAGTCGAATCAGATCAATGGCATTTGAGAAGCCTGCTGCTCTAGCGCTGTGAAGAAGCTTCCAGAAACGTCCTTTTACTTCTCCCTTTTTGTTCTATCTGTAAACAAGAAGATCTGCAGCCTTTGAGACTGGGAGAACAGCCATCCCACAAAGAAGGGAATGAAGAGCAGGGAAATGGCCATGAGAGACATGCCATAAATACTGTCAACCTGACCTCCAGCATTAGAACCTCATTGGTGGTTCCACATAAGGTTTTCTATCACCTAAGCCCAAACTTCCCATTCACCCATGCGATATTTGTGCCATCATCCTTTCACGAAGGCACAAAAAGCCTGCGGGAGTGGGGCAGAGACCTCTTTTGAGAACCAAAACTACAGTTCCCAACCTAATTTCAAATGGAAGAGGCATTCTCAATTACAGTATTCACCAGAGAATCCGTACAACTGTGACTCCGCAGATCCTTCCAAACAGATTCTCCACCACAGGCTGAAAGATGCAAAGCCAAACCGAATAAGGAGAAATCAGGTCACCTACCTGCGAACAGGGCGATGTTGGCATGTTTGGCATCATAAGGGCATCTGGCCATTCCGCTAAATTCATCCCCGAAAGTTTCCAAAGTATCGATCTAAATAAAATAACGGAATTACCACCAGTTACCGACAACAGTAACAGAAACCGATATTTAAAAGTAATTTACAGGCACCTTGCAAATGCATCCTTGTAAATACCCACTAAAGTAAATCTATTAGTTTCAGATAAGAAAAAGAGGCTTTGAGAGACGATTTACTTGATTAAGACTCTGTAATTAAGGTAGTGTGAAATTTGACTGTGTCTGATTGGCTCTTAACCCATTACAATAGACAGATTTCCATACCCTCGTGGAATGGTCAATAAATAAGCATTTTAGACGAAGGTATTTCTAAGGTAATTGCCGGGAAAATCTACCTGCCCCAATTATCTCATGAGTCGTGAACTCTAGAGAGAATGAACTGCATTTCTGGATTTGTTTTGCCTGATGAGTCCTTCCTTTGTGGATTAAATCCCAGTAGGAAACACTGGAATTTTTTTCTCCAGTTGGTTAGCGGAACAGTGTGGCATCAGCCAAGATGAAAAACATGCTAGCTAGCAAAACTCAGATGGCCTCAGCAGCTACGTCAGTCCAGTTTCAGAATGAGCTGCAGAGAAGCAGAGGGCCCAAAGGTGAGGGGCCTATGTAGGTCAAAGGCAGTGAGAGGAGGGGCTGCTACCTGCTGATGCCTGAGCCCAGCCTGGCTCTAGCTCCTTTACTCTAAATAAGAGGAGGTTAGAGCCGAGGTGCTTGTGAGTTATATTTGGCTCTATTAGTATGGAGAGATAAGGGCAGAGACAGAGGCAAAGGGAAAATGAGGAGAAAGAGAAGAAACTGAACACGGATTTTAAGTCTTATACAAAATCCTGGATTTCTTCTTTCTTTTGAGCAGTAGAAGTCAATGCATGTCTTTCTTACTCATGTGGCCATTCCTCAACTGTTACAGGTAACACACACACACCAGGCCCACAGGCATTTGTGGATTGGCAAAGGCTCCCCAGTTGTCCGCCAAATGCCATTGCTCTTTCCTCCAGAGCACACTACAGCACATTGCCCCGCCTCCCCACACTCTGATGCAGCTGTGTGACCATGTTCTGGCCAAGGACATGTGAGGATCAGCCACCTTGGTCCTTTCTGCTTCCCCTTGGCATATTACAGACGATGGCAGCAGGACCCTCAGAGAGGGCAAAGGTAGCCTCGGGAAAGACTCAGATCTTCTCAACCCCTCTGTAGAATAGACACATCTCCCTGACCACACTTGGCTGTGAGGAAGGCACACCTGTCACATGACTCAGAGGTTAGCGCCGATGTTAATCCGGCGCCTGCTGTCTGCTCCCTCATTTCTTAGTAGGTAAGAGCTCAACCCCAAGTTCAAAAAATTGATCTCATTAACATTGTTATTGTCACAGCCATTTCTAGCCTCCTCTTAGCTTAAACATAGTTTGACCACCGATCTGAGGACGAAGAGAAGATAAACCTAAAACAGAAAAGGTCACCTGCAGTGCACCAAGCTGCCCAAATCAAGGCACTTGAAGTCACTGGTCAAGAGTAGAAGCTGAGGATGTGATAGGCATTGTGCTATCCTGTCATTTGTACCTTCTGCTCTAATGTCTCCACTGGACATGACAGAACTTTCTTCTTTGAGGTGGCCCCTGTATTAAGTTATCCTGTGTTTGTGCACTGCATTTGTAAATCCCACAAAACAGCAGTGTATAAAATGTAACCATTGGGGGGGGGGTAAGAAAGTCAAGTCAGAGGCATCCTTTAAAGCAATGTATTCTCCCTTGCCAGAACATTCCTCACAAGGCTCTTTTTCAGATACTTTATCCCAACAAGAGCTTTGGGTTGAACTGCATAGACTGTGTGGTCTGTGGGTCTTACAGGTACTCAGCAATGAACAAACACATCACACAACGGAAATGACTTATTTAAGCAGGGCCCGCTCTAACCCTAACATCAAGAGGGATGCGGGACCTTCTCCTAAATGAGTGGCTGTAGCTACAACGGAGTCAAAGCGGGAAGCTTAAGAGTACTGTGCCGATTTATGTCTTTGGGAAGGCCTAGAGGCTAAACAAATAAATAAATACCATAGTGAAATACCTCTGTCCATGACGTAAGAACTAATCCTTGCAGTCACAGAAATCTCCAAATGAAACCATAGCTCCTGGGAAATCAAATCCCCATAGAAGACAAGTAGTGATATAAAGACCCCGCTTAACTTTTATGGACAGTTCAGGTGGTCTACAGCTCCAAAGGAGGAAGGAGTAGAGCTTTGGAAAAAGTGCAAAGCCCCCAAGTTCTTCCCCACCTAATTTTGTTGGGGTCTAAAATCTTTCTAACACATTCAACTTTATTTTAAAACAACAGCAGAAAATTTATAACTTAAGATGTGGTGAGGAGGTAAAAACCAAGTGGCTGCTGAGTTACTCTAATAACATCGCCACTTGCTTCTCTGCTAGAAAGAAACAGGAGCCTCATGGTGGAAAGGCAGTCAGTCAATGGTTTGCTTTGAGTCTTTGGTCTTGATCTGTTCATAAAAAGCATGGAAGAGAGCGGCTGTTGCCTCCCTCTAACACAGGGGTTCTCAACCTTCCTAATGCTGTGAGTCTTGAATACAGTTTCTCATGTTGTGGTGACTCCCCCTCAACTATAAAATGATTTTCATTGCTACCTCATAACTGTAATCTTACTACTGTTATGAACTACAATATAAATATTTGTATTTTCTGAGGGTCTCAGGTCACCTCTGTGAAAGGGTTATTTGACCCCAAAGGGGTCGCAACCCACAGATTGAGAACCACTGTTGTAGCACAACACGTCACACTGTGCCCCAAGTCTAACAGAACAATGCAGTGCTGGGCACTGAGGCAGGATGAGAGTGAACACCATCCTGTGTGTAGCTTCGGAGAGCACCAGACTGCTGGTCATGTCACCACGGGTGTGGCTGCAAGTGAGAGGCGGACAGCATTGCTACAGGTGAGGGACGGTGGGAAAAGGAATACACACGGGTGGAATGAGCTAGAACACTCTTAGCCTGTGTGTCACAGTGCCAGGAAAACCTGCAACTTCTCACCAAAGACAGCTTTCGATTCCTTTGAATGTGTTAGAAGCCTTAGTCTTAATGAGTCCTAAACAATGACAAATGGGGATGGAATGCCAAGTAGTAAAATTAAAGCTGAAATAGCAGCTGGAAGCTCTTACTAGAGTAAATACGGGCTAGATGGGCTATAGTCATTAAAAACAGATAGGTCCTATCTACTTTAATCCCGGCTCTTTCCTTTCAAAATAGACTTTCCTGTACGACTCTTCCTTTTATCTTAGAGGTTGTATCTTGGGCAGTACCTCTTCTTGTTTCACCCTAATCTTGTTCACCCTGCTGAAACCAGTTTCCAAGCACAAGGTGGAAGATGAAACAAAGACCTTCTTTTCAACCTTTCTTGCCAAGAAGAGGCCTGAGTTGGGAGGTCTTTTCCGGGTAAGCCTGAGGGTTGACGCCAGCCCACCATGGCTTCTCATATCCTCTGTGCCATTGAGGTATCACTTTGTGAGGACAAAACCCAATCTATTTCTCTCCACACAGCTCCTGAAAGAAATCTTCCATCCGTTGTCTTGCTGGATGTACTCGTGCTATATGGGTATTTCCTGCTGTCCTGGTTGGGTTTTCTGTCAACTTGACAGAAACTAGAGCCATCTGAGGGAACCTCCACTGAGAAAATGCCTCTGTAAGATTAACCTGTAGGAAAGACTATGGAGGCATTTTCTTGATTAATAATTAATATGGGACGGGAGGGAGCTCATTGTGGGTGGTGCTACTCCTGGGCAGGGGGTGCTGGATTGAAAATGAAATCAGGCTGAGCAAGCCACGGGAAGCAAGTCAATAAGCAGCTTTCCTCCATGGCCTCTGCTTCAGGTCCCACCACGAGGTTCCTGCCTTAAGTTCCTGTTTTACATCCCCCCCCCCCCCCCCGTTGATGGACTATTACCTGGAATTGTAAGCCTAAATAAAACCTTTCCTCCCCAAGTTGCTTTTGGTCATGGTGTTCTATCACTTAATAGAAGCACTAAAACACCTGCATGATACCACCCAGAAATCGTATTGTAGAACTCCCACCTCCCAGTGCCCTGTGAATTCTCTATTCCATCCAGCAGACTGGAGGCAGCCCCATCACCCGCTCTTCAAGAGACAGTCCAGGAGGCCTTATTGACACCTAACTCTCTTTCCCTCCTTGTTGTGCGACTCATCAATTACTAAGCCTCCCAGGGTTATTGTTTTTCTTGAATCTATTCTCTTTCCTTCTTTCCTGGGACAACCTACCTTTTCAGTTTCTTGTCATTGTCCCTTGTCACTTCAGGGTCCAACACATCAGAGCTAGATGAAGTTGCCCAAGCTCCGTAGGCTGTTTCTCATGCTGAGTCTCTGCTTGCACTGCTCTCAGTACCCAGAATGCCCTCAGCATTCAATTGGCTGACTTCCTACCACCCTTAAGACAAAGGGTAGAGACTACGTCCTTCGTGATTTATTCCACCAGGTGCGGGCTTGGGAGGCACTATTCAGATTCTGAGTCATCATAAATGTGTTTCATGCCCTTGGCAGAGTCTCCATGTGGTATTAACGCTCCAGCTAGGAGCCCAGAAGGTGGGGACTTTTTAGAAGAGTCTCACCTGCCTGCTTCTTACACTTCTACCCCCTTTATCTCAGGTGACGGTAAAGACGACTGTGCTGTGCTTCCTCAACTAATCACGCCATTTGACCGAAGCGCCAACTCCGTGGACACACAGCATTTCTCCTGGGGCTTGGCCTTCCTAGCGGCCAACACTTCTCTGCCTTTACAGTCTCAGTGCTTGGCTACTATAGAAGACATCAACATATGTTTCCTGAGGAAAAACTGTGGCACAAAGAAAACCTAACAGCAGCAGAGCCAAGATGCGAGAGCTCTGGCCCTTCTGCTCCAGCAACTCAGGGGCTCCCAGTTTCCTCAACTGTAAACCACCCCCCCCCAACTTGATTTCCTGAGTCTTTGAGGCCAATCCTTTCTTTCTTTTTTTTTCTTTCCTTTTCCTCTTGTATACAGGCCAAAGCAAGTAAGGCCATGGCCAAGTGAGCTGGTACAAATTGGAATTACATTCCTCTCTTGAAAAATCTTACAATGCAGGAGTCTATGGTTTCAAGCAGCATGCTTTGGCAATGTCTTTTACAATAGGAATTCCTTACCAATTAAGTGAGCTTTGGTCCTTACAGAGGTAATACAGGAGTGGGAGGGACAAAGAGCAGAAGAGAGGAAATGCACGTGCCACTATATGTGGTAAGCAGGCAGTCTCCCGAACAATAGAGACTTCTAGAAATCATCTTCACCTGAGAGGCTCTTTAAAGGTGTGTCAGTCAATGCTGAACAAACAGGAATCTTCAGAGCCTGCTCAGGAACACCCTCTTGTAGCGATACACCAAGCTGGGTAAGCGAAGCAAACCCGTATGGCGTTGAGTTACCTCTGCGGTGGCTGCAGGTACTGTGACAGTACATTACGAAATCACCTCCTGGCAGTGAGCTTACCGTCAGACAAACAGATAACATTTACCTTGTAGTTTCTGCAGGAAGGGTTGAAGGCATTGGTTCCACAGACGAACAGGGTATCGTCATTCTTCTTGAGGAGAACTTTAATGAAATTGTGACATTCATCCTGAAACAAGAATCGAACCGGTCTGAACAGAATCCATGCAGCACAAAAGCCCATTCATCCCCACAGACCGTGATCCAACAACAGAAAAATCACTCACACATGGAGAGGAGCGTGTGTAAGGATACAGAGCCAGACCGCCCCCCAGTTACATGGTCAAATTGTTGCTGATGTCAACCAAGAGAGGACGTCCATGAGTGTTTCAACAGTAAATACAAACGTGGCAGAGAATGGTAACTTATGCTTCTTTCATTTCACAGAAGAAAGGGGGATTAAATGCAGCGACCCCTTATCATAGTAATTTCAATGCTAGATATTCTAGGGTTTCTTAAAGACACCTCTATGTTATCCTTTGACCAAAGGCCCAGAAGCCTGTGAGTCCGTTGTGTTTCACAGGAGTGCTTCCACAGGCCGGAGGTGTGCCCTGGCCTGCAAGGTGGGTTCCTGGGACAGATCACTCAGGAGGCTCAGGAGACCAGCTCTGAGTCAGTAATCCCTACCGGGCCCGAGGAGGAGCCCTCGCTGCAGCCCCGGCAGCTGTTGTAATATTTCATCACATTAAGAGCAAACTATTTTTGCAAATTAAAGCTTTCAATAAGTTGATGGAAAAAGCAATTACGGGGGAAAAGGGAATACCAAGATGCATTCAAATCATAGTCTACGGCTGGAGATAACCGTCAAACAAGTAACCCGAAGTGGCAGCCGCAGGAGAAATGGAAATTGCCTACCTTATGTTTCCCCTTCATCCTGCACGTGTCTACATCAGCCTGTCTAGATTTCCATGTCAGTTTCTGCAGGGATCAAGAAAGAAATCAATTAGAGCCCAGAGGTTGTTGCATTTGATTTTAGAAGTAAAAGTTCCCTCGGGGCGACTAGAGACTAAACATATTTATGGAAAGCTTTCTACACCCTTTCCACACATGATTCATTCACCAGACAACAAATATTAGACACAAAAACTTTTTTTGCTTGATTTTGACTTCTTATCTGTTCATTAAACGACAGGAGGGACCGCTTTGGGAGATGAGGAGACAGGAGAAGCGCGGGGATTTCATAGAAAATATCCAAAGGAAACGTGCAAAGTTGTGCTCATCTGGGTAAAATATGTGTCACTGACATTTTTGTTCAGTTCATCAATCAGTGTTTGCAAAAAAAATGACCTTTCCCTGAAAATATGGAAATCATTTTCTTAAACATAAAGTGGACATTCACTGCGGGCAGACAGCAATTTATTTAGGTTGTGCTCCTTCGTATAAATTCATGGGGCTGAGTCTCCGACTTGTACTGCAGAGTTTTATTAACTAGAATATCCCCATGCGGAGCCATGAGAAAAGCTTGCGTTCGGCTTTAAGTACGTCTAGATGATGATTCAAGTCCAGAACCAGCCAAGGAACATCCAAGCTGCATGGCGTGGATGCACTAACATTGGGACAGTTTTTTAATATGCTTGGGGGACAGAGTTTTACTTATGAAAATTGATATTTTCTTGGATAGACGTGGCAATATTTTAATAAAGGATTTTACAAATTACACAAAATCCCCAAATGTCTACCCACACACTGATGAACTATCTGTTTTGAAATGTGGAATAAACTCTAAATCTGGCTTTACGAAAGGTATGCTGGCATCAGCCCTACCAACCCAACCACTGCATTTAAGGTATGTATTCCCTAAGGACTCCCGTTTTAGAAAGATGGGTTTAAAAACAACTTACTTTGCTACAATAAATTTCTTCTGTGTGGGATGTGTCTATATCAACAGTATAAATATGGTCCCTGTAAAAGAGAAGTTAATACAAAGTCAAACACAAGAGTTAAACCAACACATTTTCTATGGAATAAATTTATTATGTTTGGAGCAGATAAGCCCATGACTATATTAGTTAAAACAAAACCAAATAACAACAACAAAAAAGCTATCAACCAGGTTGTGGTGGTGCATGCCTTTAATCCTAGCACTCAGGAGGCCGAGGCAGGCAGATCTCTGCATTCAGGGCCAGCCTGGTCTACAGAGTGAGCTCCAAGACAGCCAGAGCTACACAGAGAAAGCCTGTCACAAAAGCAAGATATCCACATGCTAGAAAAAAAAGAAAGAATTTAGCGTAAGAGATTATCTTGAACCACATTTGGTCCTTAAGATTTTATCATATCGAGTTGATACACAAAAGCTTTCGGCAGCTATTCTCCTAATCTCAGAACTACAGAGCCACATATATATGTGTGTGTGTGTGTGTGTGTGTGTGTGTGTGTGTGTGTATATATATGTGTGTGTGTGTGTGTGTATATATATACACACACAGAGCTCTGCCGGGAGGGCCTGGAGATTAACCTGGTCCAGAGGCTGGAGCGTAGCTGGGTTCATGTTGGCTCTCAGTATCTTCAAACCCATGCGCAAGTTGCTTGGTATTCAATGTGCTACATTTGATAATTTGAAAGACAAGATGGAAGGAAGGTAAAATTATTTCCAGAACTGTCCTTCCTTTCACAAGACCAAATGTACTCAAACTGAGGTTGACACTTCATGCTTCTGCTCAGTTGTTTTTGTTCGGGGTTTGGTTGTCTTTACAGTTTTTTGCTGCCAATCTCCCCTTGGAAGGGGAGCCACAGAATCGGCAGCTCAGGTGTGGGGCTATATTTAAACCTCCCTCTGTGTGAGCAGAGTACAAGGGTCTTTTTGTCTGGAATTCCGAAGAAAGAGAAGAAAAGAACCACACTCAATGGAGGAGGTGGGGGGCTGGTGGGGGTAAATCCAAACAGCTCATTTTCCCTTGAAATAACATTGACTTTTTCTAAAACGCAGGAAGTCCTGGGGCTGGAAAATTATCCACAGCTTTAAGCCAGGACCTCAGGGCTCCTGTGCAGACTTTCAAACCTCCTCATTAGTTAGAAAGAAACAGGGGCTGGCTGGGGGAGAGGAAAAGAAAGCAATTATTTGTAAGACTCATATATGATACGTGTGTATATGTATACATTCAAATATGCACCTATACATATAGACTCCATTTCTGACGAGTCTATTTACTTTGCTTTCGGAGAAAACACAACAGAGAAAAATCAAAACGGTTCCTCACATGGAAATCAACGGCGAAAGCAGGGGTGTTAGCTTACAGATTCCCTTGCCTGCTTCTGAGCCAGGCATGAGCTTGTGTGTGAGAAAAGGCGTGTGTTTGTGTCGGGGTAGTGAAGGGGGGAGTGAGGAGCCCGCTTTACCAACAGCTGGCCTGGGCAGCTTCTCCAGCTTCAGTAGGGTGCCAGCATCACTCTGCCCTTTAATTTCGAGGCCGTTTATTGCATTCGTTTATTACTTGCTTGACTTTATGAAGGCGCTGCGGCCTGGCCACATTATGAGCCTGGAATTGCCTGTGACATTGGTATTGGGCTTGAGATGACTGGGAGAAGCCTTTCCTTATCCCCTTTCCCTTCAAAACTTAAGTAGAAGCTGAATATATGAATTGTAAATTAACCACTGATTAATATGCACTGGCAGCTCCTCAGAAAGCTCTCAGATTGCCCCCTTTTGGCATGGCCTGTTTATGTTAATTAGCAGTTTAGAGATTAAAAAGAAAGAAGAATTTACAAAGTGGATAATAATAAGAAAGAATTGGAAGGCGTTCTCGCCACCAAACCCCATCAGTCCCCAGGGTTCTGGATGGGACTTGGCTTTCGATCGCTGACACCAATTGTCTGGGAGAACTGGGAAGCCTTTTAAAAACAATTCCATGAGTGAAATCTCCTTCTGGACAGAGGCAATCTTTTTCAATATCCCAAAGACCACATGGCCCCAGTGGATAGAAATGGTGCTTTATGGTCTACTATAATCCAGGGCAAAGGAGCATTTCCAGATGCCCCTGCGCATCCCAGTACTCCTAACGACATTCTTGCACCTGAATGTAGTGATTTGAACGCAAACTCACTTAATCCTAGGACTTCCTCTTTCCCAGCCCATTGAACATCACTGAGTTGTATGGCCACGGCTTGAGCCTCAGGGAAGGACTCAACTTTAAATCCTGCTAATGTGCTACCCAGGAACCTGGATGTCTCAGGGTAGTGTTGGGGAATGTGATATTGAAAGGAGAGGCCCTAAAGGCAGCGACAACAATCCTTTTGGAATTTTTCAGAGCGCGAACAGAAGGGAAGTGGCTGGGTGTGGAGTTATGCAAGATGCCAATGTAAGGGTGCTGTACACTTGAACCTGTACACAAGAATGGCAAGTCTATTCCGTGGCTTTGGGAAGGGGCACACTCTTTTCTCCTTTCTGTTTCCTCTTTTTCCCATTCCTTAAGATGGAGAGTTCAGATGAAACTGCCTTGGTTTTAATGATCTGGAATAATGAATGCTTCTTCTGCGATGCAACACCTGGCTTCTAACGCAACAGCTGCCCCAGGCCCGCAGCCCACACCTATGCTAAATCACTGGCTACAAGGGCTGCCTGCTACAACCATTTCTGTTCCCAGTGACTCCATTGTGAAGAAAACATGACAGGGGCTACCCAAGCCGACCTAGTCCTCACAGGTTCGATGTTTGACTGTCTGGATCAGCATTTGATACATTGTCATATAAACCTAACTTTGCTTTACAACATGGAGGAAATTAATAAGGATACCAAAGTAGGAGCTGCCGAGCTTCCAAAGAGGAGGGGGCTGAGCCCTCACTGGAATGTTCTGAAATGAATATCCACAAAGGCCGCTCTTGGGCAACAGTTATAAGTTATTAATTCACGACAAAGACTTTCATTTTCCAGTGGGCAGCACAGGGCAGGGAGAGAGTGGCTATGTGGCCATTCAAACACTGTAGCCTTCACTGGGGCCACTTAATCCCCATCTTGGTCTCCTTCTACAGAAAGTGGGGAAGGCAGTTACTCTCTCTTAAACCTGTTTCTGGGATCCAGCAAATTAACATTAATGAAGTTACGACGATGTCTTTTACTTATACAGACATACCAGCATGAATAGCATCTGTGAAGGCTTCTCTTGGTTGTTGTTGCTGTTTAAGTGTTCAGTGTTGCTTCCTGTGGCCAAGTGTGTGCTGGGCTTGGGACATTTCCATCACACTCAAGGCTTTTCACTTTACATTACGGAGATTGCCACCCATATCTAAACTTCCAAGGAATCTGATACTGTTGTTATATTAGCCACTCTGGTCCTGGGTTCACAGCCGTATACAAACATCATTTGTCTTCTCCCCATCATGAAATAATTCACTTATTTAGAGTCAGGTAAGTGCCCAGAGGAACATTCGGGGTGGTCCTCCTTGAATGAGTTCCATACCCCAAACCTGGTTGGAATGGTGAGAATTGGTGGCCTTGGGCATCTCCTATGAATTGTTTCGTCTCATAGTTCCACGCCTTGTTGGAATCACTATGTGCTTCCTAAAGACACATCTCATCTGGCAGAGGGCACATAAAACCAGAGAAGCTGTGGAGCAGCTGAACCATGGGCAGGATTCGAACAAAAGCCCAAATCCATGTGGCCCTCATCCGAGTGGCATTCTTATGCCTTAGGATATCAGCATGTCCTGATATTATTTTCCAAAGGACAAGTAATGCTTATTATTTTTATTCTTACTGACTGTTAAATACAAACCACTTATGAACCATACACAGTATTGTATTTTCTCTGGTCACCACTACCAGTCTGTCAAAATAATGGCAAATATTCAGTGCAAATATACAAATAGGCATAATATAGACACACACCTCTGTACACTGCTTAATACATGTTGCTACATCCAAATTGATTTGACAAACAACTACCAAGTGGTAGAGTTCTCGGCTATGTACTTGGGTAAATATTTGCATATATGTTCAAGAAACACGGTGGATTATTTGAGCTGTAAGCTCTAAAATATGCAATTATTTCTCCAAAAACCCACAGAAGGTTAAGCAGACATAAAAAAAAATCCCCAAAAGGTTAAACAGACAGGAGAAACACTTGAAAGAATGATTACTTGACAAACACAAGCAGCTTTTAGTTTAAATAAAATAATTAGGAACCTCAGGTTCTTTGAAAGATACATGGCCGGTGAGTAGGGACTGGAACCTTTGGTTCCTGCAAAGATGCCCGTGAGGATGGTCTCTTACCGAGCAGCGACGTAGAGAGTTCTGTTCATGACCATGATCATCTGGATGTCCAGCCTGTGCCTCTGTGTGGTGTTCCGTCCTGGCTTGTGGCCCACAAACACCGGATACTGTTTTGTATCTGTGAAAAAAAGATGGGGTAAGAGAGGGGAACTCAGATCAAGCCAAGAATCAACGGGGTGGTGTGAGGAGGGGGGTGGGCCCTAGAATGAAACCGTGTTTAATTCAGACCATGCCACCATTTCCCATCTCCAGAAAAGCTGCTATCTCAGGAAACGCTGTGAAAGTGTTCCTTAAGGACGATCGGGTTACACTTCAATTCCAGATGATAATAAACCCAGTCTTAGCATTTCTGAGTGTCACCGTTTCTGAGGGTTAAACTTGCTGGTCCACCCTTTGCACGGGAGGTGCTCTTTCTTCCCCCAGCTTCCTTTTCATCTTCTGTGGAGTGCTAAGCCTGAGGAAGGCAGGCTGCCAAAGATCTTGTCTCCGGACAAAAGTATTTCAAAGCTGCCTTCCCCATCAATCACCGCAAAGGCAATGTGGTCTGTAGGCGAGAGCCTTCATCCAGGAGCCAGAAGAAAAATACAGTCTCCACAGGCGCCCGGGTGGAATAATCTACCATTGAGGGCAGCCCTGCTAAGTCGGTTGGCATTCTAGGAACTGTGGGAAGTGCACTCTGGAGCTCAGCCATTGGCTAAGCTCACAGAAAAGTGGGCTTTGACAGGAGAGGCTCAAAGTGAGCGTAGCCAGTCGGGTGACCTGGCAGGGTCCGTGAGCACATTTCTTCCTCCCGTGCTCTTTGGCTGAGCCTGTGATGTGTAATAATATCTGACCTTTAGAAATACCTGGATCTCAACATCTCTCTGTTTCTAAACCTATAGTCTCCAGAGCATTGGCAATCCTCCAAGAAGAGGAAAGAAAGATGAGTCACATCCAAAAAGGCCATGTTTTCTGGTGAGTTCCAGGGATGTAAGTCTGAGAGGGAAACCACTCACAGGTTCGTGCCTGGACGACTGACTACACTCTAACCTTGTGGGATCTGGGCTTTCTCACGTAAGTGTTACTAGAGAGCATCCATATATTTTCCTCCCAAACAAGTCAGGGGTACAATTACCTTAAGCTTTTCCTTCCATGGTTCTTTAATTTCATGTACCTGGCCATCATGGGGATTGCTATGGTAACTCCTACATCTGTTATCATGGCATTGTGTGACCATTAATGATTGTCAACAGCTTATTAGGACTGGGGTCCCTATTGTAGAGGGACAGCAAAAACGGAAATCTTATCTCGAATGAAGATAAATACATGGTTATTTGGTTCCTAATCCGCAGTGTGGGGAACTTGGCTATTAAGGAGGGACAGCATTGACCTTTGACCTTTTGTCCTTTCCCTGTTAACATATTCCGGTCTTGGCTCCTCATCTTTGCACATAAAATTACCTCCTTTCTCAGAAATTCCAGCTGGAGGCTGAGCACTGGGGTAGCTACTTAATAGCCTGCACATCTTTCGGTAGGTTTCACTCAGTGTTTGTTTTGGGATAATACACGGAAAATGATACTTGGGGAAACTGCTCTTTACCTTGACTGGGATACAATGGTCATTTGGAGGGCAGACAATAAAATAGGAAATCGGATGTTCTTTCTAAAACAGAAGTGAAGACGTTCCTCTCGGAGGGAGCCACCGAAGCTTTTAATTATGTCAGCATCTACCGCTGACCAAAACAGGTACTGAACAAAGTTAAGCCAGTCCTTCCCTGAGACTAGCAAGCTTGTAAGCTTTTTTTTTTCTCTCTTAAGTATTTCAAAACACCTGTTGTTATTTTCTATCTTGCTTTATAATAATACAGGTTACAGATGGAAACACATGACACTCTCGGTCCTCAGATGACAACAGTGTTATCCCCTGTAGCTGGTGTGAAGGCTGGAGCATGGCTCTGTGTGTAGGGAGAGACTCCATCTGGAGACTCAGGGGACAATTCAAACACTTGATGACGCTCATAACAGTCAAACCATCCGCCTAACTCCATCCATCAGACCAGGTATGTAATGACCTACCTTTGCTTTTTTGGTTTGTTTTGGTTTGGGTTTTTTAAAGACAGGATTTCTCTGTGTAACAGCCCTAGCTGTCCTGGAACTAGCTCTGTAGACCAGGCTGGCCTTGAACTCAGAGATCCTCCTGCCTCTGCCTCCCAAGTGCTGGGATTAAAGGCCTGCGCCACTGTTGCCCTGTGACCTACCTTTATCAGGAGCACACTTTACAGTTCCTGGGCCTCCTCCCGGATTCCTTTTTATTATGGGTTTGTTAGGTGGCCGCAAGCTAAAATAGCCTCAAAAGCCAATGCAAGCAAGCGAGGGAGCACGTGATACTTACAGTTGCCATGCGAAATACTGATTGGCTCAGAATCTTCTGGGAAAGCAGCCCCAGTGCTGTGTAGCAGTGTGAGACATAGCAGCAAGGCTTCTGGCCTCATAGTAGTTCAGCGGGGAGACTTATTTCTCTACTTCACCCTGCCAAAAAGGAAAGGACGCTTCTTAGTTTTCGTTGTTTTTATTTTTTCTTTTGCAAGTCAGCTTCGTTCAACTCCATGAAACGCAATGGTCTTGAAAATAATTCAAGACAAGAGCCTTCTGTGTTCTGCCTTGTCCACAGTGAATTCACTGGTTACAGTATTTTACACAAAGGCAGTGCCCAGTACCCACTGCGCCCAATGTCATCCTGGCACCACACGCTTTTGCAAAGCTTTTGTGAAAAGCCTCACTCACTTCCTTTGACGAGGCCATTACAGGCCACTGTAGCTGTCATCTCACAATTATGAAACTATGGATTCCAAAGAGTATAAACAACTGAAAAGAACTTTTTTCCTTTTCCTTTAGAGAGGTCAAAACCTGCCATCTTCCATGTGGGGTTTTTTTTGCTGTTGTTGTTTTAGTCAGTCAAGAAATGTGACGGCATTGCCGGTAGTGAAGGACGCTGATAGTCAATGAAGATCTAGCATTCCAGCTCCATTGTAAAAGTCAGAATATATGTCATACTATGACCTCAGGACAGTGCGATGATACCATACCTCTGCCTCTAGCATGCCACACACATATGTACATACCACACACAGCTGACTCCATTTTCTTTTTGCCTGTGGAACCCCTTAGTTAGCTGAGATTTTTCAACTCTTATCTATGCCATTTTACAGCGACCTTAGAACTAAATAAAAATTACACATTCTATCTTTTAATTTTAATTAAAATATAACATTATTTTCCTTCTTGCCTTTTCTCCCTCAATCCCTCCCATATCCCCGTTACTGTCTGTCAAATTCTCTTTTCTTTGCTAAGCGTGCATATTTATGTGAATGCATAAATTGACAAACACCACCTGCTGAATCTGATTGGTGTCACTTTACTATATGATTTTAGGGCTGACCACTCCATATTAGGGGCTCATCCCTGGAAAAGTCTAATTCTCATTCTCTCTCTCATTGATTGCTAGCTGCCTGTAGTTCGTTGTCGGGGGAGGGGTGCACAGATCTATTTTTAAAAAGAAGCACACCATTTCCAATTCTGTGAAGAGAATCTGAACTGGCATCTTGGAATAGCATTGCTACTGTGTAAAGAGAATCACATCTCTGTACATTTGCTCTGCAATGATACTGTCTTGCTCTGCTGTATTCTGCTAGAGCAGATTTTATGTGTAGAAAGGTTCTTCTACAGCTTAGAAATAAAAGTCCCAGGGAGCTGCTGGATACAGCGAACACAGCCTCGTGCTACAGTAAATACCACATCCCTCTCAGGGGTATTCCAAATAAGCATTGACGTGCCGGGGAAATTAACGTAAAATGGGGTATCATTTCATCTTTTTTAGAGTAGCATTCTTTGAAGCAGCCTGCCAAAGATTATCTTTTCTGAACAAAGCTATTCCACAGTAGTCCATCAATCATGTAAGATTTGCGTTTAGAAATGTCAAACCTAGTAACCTAAATGTCTTTGAAAATTAATTTGGCAAACAAACTGCTAACTTACGCTTTGTGGAACACCACTTAATATTAGATACCTATGTCTCTTTTCTTCATGCCAAAAAAAGCATTAACAAGTCCCGGGTGCATTGTAGGTTATAATTTCACAGACACAGTTGGGTCTTAATCATTTCTTCAACTGAAAAGTGCTCATTAATTAATTTGTTTTATCTCGGAAAAAAATCAAAGAGGGGAAGAAGTTGAGAGAAGAGCCTAAACAGTTCCATATCTCTATCTCTGATGCAAAGATTAAAATTGAACTTGGAATGATTTCTTGTTCGCAAAGGCGATCCATTACCAAGAGACAAAGCGTGTATTTACAGGACAACAGGTCCATTTATTCCCTTCCTTGCCAGTGCTCCCTAATCCGGGGCATCTGAACACAAAGGAAAGACACTCCAGGGTCCCCCCTTTGCTTCTCAGGAGCCTTGTTCAGTATAACATTAAGGGGGCACAATCAGTAACAAAGAGTAACTAAAACACAAACACAACACACATCGGCGGTTACACTTGGGTGAGGAAATGTAAGGCAAGAAGCAGCAGCGGCAGCGTTACCAAGGGCAGAATTTCAGCATGAGTTCCCAGCATGGCGCAAGAATAAAGGAGACTTAGAAGGCAGAGCCGCCTTCCCTTCGAATGATGGGAAGTATACAATATATGCTATTAAAGATTTTTTTCTTGACACGACTAATGAGCCTCTACCCTTCCACAACCGCATCCACCCCTGCACAAATGTCCTACAAGCTCGAGACAAAACCCCGCTTTTTATTCTGTCTTAATTCTTTCTCCCTTAAGATTACATGGGGAAAATTCTCAAGCCCTGGAGCTGGCAGGAAGAGCAGTGCAGAGAAAGCTGTTATGCAATCCCGCAGCTTCTTTTAAGGCTTACGTGTAGTCAGCATCACAACTCAGATATGTCACTGACAGATCTCCAGGTTTACAGGTGGGCTCTCCGCCAGGAAAGAAGAGCTGTTTTATGTGCCCCTCCATCTTCCCATCATCAGGTGCTTAAGCGCGTCACAGGGATGAACGTGGTTAACGTTAGTCAGTCTTACCAAGTTGGCCTTGTGGGACCAACATCTCCACACATAGATGAGAGGATGCTGCCTAACTTAAGACCACTTGTGGTTGCCCCGCTCACTGTCTCCACGTCCAGCTGTAGGAAATATGTAAATACTATTGGACCTGACCGTACAGATACAACTTTTGTCTGTTTTGGGACACACAAGGGAATCTTCCAGAATGTTCACGTCCAAAGAAGGGTTTAACAATAAGTGGTAAGGATGTGAAAAATATGTCTTGGAAATCCTAGCAGTGGCTTGGGATAGAGGGAGGAAATAATGGTCGTAGTGATGGAGCTTTTTCTGGCTCTGAATAGAGGTAGGAAATAATGGTCGTAGTGGTAGGGGCTTTTTCCTCACGAACAAAGTTAATTGCCATGAGGTTCCAGCAATCCCTTTAAAAACACATTTTCTACTGACATCATAGGAAGTTCTAACAATAATCAATAATTCACATTATTAGAAGGAAGGGCATGCTAAGGGTGTGACTCTAGGCAACCCAGTTACGTTGGCTAGCTCTCTGCTTTGTCACCTGCAAAGTGAAAGGACAGGAAATTGTATGGCTCCTAAAAGCCCTCAAGATTGAGACTGTATTCCCAGAAGAAGGGAAGAAGAGAGGAGAGGGGAGAAAGGAGATGAATGAGGAGGCACAGCACGGGTGTGTCTGTGAGACACTGAGCCAGGCCACCTCACTGCCTTTTCCAGGCTAAGGCAACCACCCAGCGGCGGGGAGAAAGAAGAGTCAAAGGAGCAATCAAGAACCCAAAGCGAGGAGAGGTCCTAAGACGGGGACAAGAGTCCGGCTCTGAGATCATGACAAGCCAGGTAGAAAAAAGTGCCAAGGACTTTAGAAGTCTACTTTTCAAGAGGTCTCCTCTCTTCCTCTAGCTCCTCCTGACTGTCCCTCACAGTGAGGAGAGAGAGCTGTGTAGACAATATGCATGCCCACGGGCGGTACCATGTGTGATGAACAGGAGGGGGTGGGGATAAAACCTTCTAGCCTTACTCTAGTGTGACAGTTCTCAATCTGTGGGTGGCAACCCATTTGGGGTATAGAGACCCTTTCACGGGGGTCACCTAAGATCATCGGAAAACACAGATACTTACATTATGATTCAGAACAGTAGCAAGATTACAGTTATGAAGTAGCAACAAGAATAATGTCATGGTTGGGAGTCACCACAACCTGAGGAACTGCACTGAAGGGTGGCAGCATTAGGAGGGTGGAGAACTGTTGTTCTAGTAGTGTAGAAGGCTGTTCACACATTTCGTTGGCAGGGGCCAATAGCTACCAGCATGCCAAGTTGCCTCATCTCAACATCAGGGTCTAGTACAAGTCTGACAAACACCCCTAATGTCCCAGAGAGAGTGCTACTGTCAGCATCTAATCATAGTAAGAGTTTAGTTGGTATTTACACTGGGAATAATCACATAATTATGGCAATTCTGATAGACAGGCCTTATCAGGCCCAAATAAGGAAACTGAGGCCCCGGGCAGGAGGCTAAGTTACATTTCTAGGTAGCACCCAGCAGACATTTACAGCACATTAGGGAAAAGGTAAGAGCACAATAATCAAAGGGGAGTACTGGCTCTCAACCCCAGATCTGTGTGACTGCACCATTTACATCCTCCCTAGGCCATGAAGGAGTGGAGACAGGGGAAGGGAAAGGGAAGGCCTAAGTAGAAACTTCACTTACGATAATAACTGAATACCGGTTGATATATCTTTGCTTACAGGGATAGATTAGCTGAAAGTCCCTAATGGCTTCAGTCATAAAAATCCATAAACTGAGTACACAGTCACTCTCAAAACATGTCAGCTCTCAGGCTCACTCCACCTTATGGGCCTGTGATCGCAGGCCCACGGTGATGGGAAGATGGCGAGGTTTCTCCACCACCGATTCAGAAGGAGTTGATGGTGTCAGGACACCGCTGTGGTAAGTGGGACAACCCGGGATTCCTCCTTCCTGCCTCCCTTGAGGGTGATGTTTTAAAGTCAGATGTTTCACGGAAAGTAGTGTCATTTGCTAAGGGCAAGAACGAGGCTGCCGGGCTGGAGAGATGGCTCAAGAGGTTAGGAGCCCTGCCTGTTCTTCCGAAGGTCCTGAGTTCAATTCCCAGCAACCACATGGTGGCTCACAACCATCTGTAATGAGATCTGGTGCAGAATACAGTATATATATAAAATAAATAAATTTAAAAAAAAAGAAAAGAACGAGGCTGCCTGCACAGATCTGCTCCCTCTCAAGCCGGAGAGGAACCTTCACCTCCAGAGGGATAGGGAAAACAGGTGTTTGTGCAGAGAGCCCGGCTCACTGCATGCTGGAGACCCATCAGAGATCAGAAGTGTTGATTCTTCTCCCACTAGAAGAAAATGTGAAGAATGAATGAGTGTTTAAGTAGTAGGTGTCCTTCACTGACCTGGACAGCCCTTGCTTT